AAACATGTGTGAACAGGAACTTCCTGCCCTCTACAAAACCTTGTGACACTCACATTCAAATGTTAAATGGGATTCAATCCAGAATGCATAATTTGGCTGGAGATGATTCAAACTAGAACTTTTCCGTGTCTACACAATTTCGGGCATACTGGTAAGAGAGAAATCATAATTGAGACAGTGATAGCAATATCCAATAGAGAAAATGACTTCTGCTTTCCTGAGAACAATTTCTATTAATGAGAAGAAATGCTTCACTTTCTGTATCAGCATAAAAATAACCATAAAGTTTTGATTATGTGGCACCAAATACCAATGCGTGCAACAACTCTTGGCACATGTTCTATAGACTCTGTTCAACCACTACCACTACCAAACAATGACCATTATCAGGTCCTTTAAACCTTTAGGAACAGGGATGAGTGGAGGGGAAAAAAGAAGAACTCATGCAAAGCTAACGATGAACATATACAGAGATAACCACATCATTAAGCACTCACATATCTTACAAATATCCGCAGCCATAACCTAACTTAACCTAACTTTGATGTTTGTTTGACAAAAATCCCACAGATCCCCTCCTAGGTTCTACAATAAACATACACCCAAATACACAGATCCCTAATTTGCATTGTAGCTTTAAGAACATAATGGTGGAAGTCAGGCTTGGAAATGGCCACTCCTGTGGATTTGGTAGGAGAACAGCTTCTACCAAACATGTCTACAATGAGAGAAAATCTAACTTCACATTAAGTGTGTGGTATTTTTTTTTAACAGCAAGCTATCCCCACTCACCTGAAAGATGACATGTTTTTCTTGCATTACCATGTCCAAGAAAGAAGAGAAGATGTCCTAAAAGAAGATTCATATAATGAAATATATCGGAACAAGATGCCCTAATGTAGCAGTTCGGCATAAGACTCCATGTGACAGAAGGCAAATGAAAGGAAGCAGCTACAGGCGGGAGGGATGGCTAAGTATGTTAAGAGCATTTACTGCTCTTCTGGAGGACCAGAGTTTGGATCCCAGTACCCATGATGAGTAGATCACAATAGCCTGTAACTCCAGATCCAAGGAACAAATGAAATCTTCTGTTCTATGTGGGAATCTGCACTACCGTCCCCCTCCACATGAAAGTCAATCTTAAAAAGAAGCAGACATGAGAAAATCTCTCTTCCCAGAATGACAGGATCATTTCTTATCAGGGAAGACAACTTTATCAGTCTAGGGATGACACTGAGAACCTCACCTAAGCAGCTTTCCCCTCTCATTGGAATATGCCCGTATCTGCCATCCCTAGAAGCTCAAAGACCACTCTCTCTGTCTGATCATCACTTAATACCAAACCCAACCCAACCCAACCCAACCCAACCCAACCCAACCCAACCCAACCCTCTGGTAAAATGCTTTAGATGCTAAAAGCCTAGGTTCCAAATGTCACTCACTCTGAGCCACTTGTTGTGTTTATTCCCTCATTAATGAACAGTGAATGCATTCATAATTCTATCTTTGCTTTTCTTATGATAGCCTCTCTCTTGTTAGTCAAATCAACAGCATCTTAGTCTATGAACCAAAGGGGTAGTGCAAGGAAAATATTTTCCCCTCTCCTGTCTAATAGTTAATGGACAACTGCTTATGGAAGCCATAAAACAACAAAACAGAGGAGCCAAACAGAGAAGTCTCATGCATAACTCAGAGAAAGACATTCACATGCCTGAAGCCCAAAGGGTCAACAATCACCAAATCAACTGCTCCGCAGTGTCAGGCAGTGAGGAGATGGGGCTTGTATCTGGACTGGCCCACTTTCTTCAGTTGGCTCTCTATTAAATGAATCATATAATTACCCAGGCTTCTCTAATGCTGTGGTGCTATTCCATGTAGGAAGGTCTTCCTTCCATTCCTTACTCCCTGGAAGTTAGCACATAGCTCAAACCTGGTTGCATCTTAACATCTGTCACTAGATCCCATAAGCTCTGGTGCCCTGGTTCCATCCCTGAATACGAACATAATGTTAATGTATCTCCCTTTGGTTTTGGCAGATGTTGTTTGCTTTGAAAAGACATCCATGCCCACATATTTCTTCCTCCACAGCAGTATTACCAGGAAAGTGGCTAGTGGATACTTCCCTGTGTCAGCATTATGTAGAGGAAAATGCTACTTAAAATTTTTTAAACTCGGTTTACTCAATAATAAACAATGGTTTAGGAACTGTCAGGCACAGCCATTGCCTTCCAGAACCTACTGAGTGGACATCTATCTCCACAGTGGAAGTTCAAGCTTTTCCAATACTTATGGATTTTTTTTTTTTATTGCCCAGTTGACAAACAGCTTTAACTGGTTGGAGCATTGGCTTACCCAAATGCACAAGAACACTGTTCTTAGCTTTTATGTATACACTTTGGAGGTCTAAGGATGGCGAAGCCAATCTAGTGATGAAGTTGACATCTGATTCTACAAATTATCCCCAACTTCTACTTTGAGGCAAACAAATGTCTCTCGCCTGTACTCACTACTGCTAGATGAGTAGTTAAACTTTCTGAATTTTTCACAGTCAATATTTCACAAGCAAGCATCAACCATTTATCACTTCGCTGGGAGTAGACGCTGGATGATTCATGGGCTTCGTCTTTGCCAGGTGATTTATCCATACACCAGAGTCACAGTATTTACCTAAGGAAGATTCAAGGTAGCATAGATCATAGACATTTTAGCTAGCGCCTGGCCAAACAAGTTTATTTATTAAATCTATCTGTGCTCCTGTTAGAATCAATTTAGAAATGTCTCCATCTTCTTCCATGTCTGATTTCATCTCTAAAGCACAGGACACAATAATAGCTCATCTCTCTGCTTTCCCTACTAACAATACGTCTTCACTCCAGCAAGTTCATCTCTAAAGGATACAATAGCTCATCTCTCTGTTTTCCCTGCTAACGATGTATTAGTAGTTTTCTTTTCTGGGCTGGATTGTCTTTTTCTTTTCTTTTTCCAGCACTGAGAATCAAATCTAGAGCTTTTGAATATGCCAGGAAAGAACTCTAGCACTCTGCTGTAGTCTCAGTTTTTGGAACTGGCTTCTAGATCTCTTTCTTCCTACAGAGTTTCTCTTCAGTACTTTCACTTTCCAATTGGTCTTACATAAAGGTGATAATTGATCCCTCTGAATACTGCAATACAAATGCATGTCCACAGAGTATCACCATCTTTTGCATTACAGAATCCAAGCTTATCACACATGTGTGTGGGCATGCATACGATACCAGGGTGAATGCCCCAGGAATATCAAGATTTAGGAGCACTCTCAGGGTGTGTGTGTCACGCCAACACACACACCCCTCCCCTACAAGCCATCTGAAGACAGAAGCCATGCTTTATTTATCTTTCTAATCCAGTGCCTGTAACAGTGCCTAGGAGATAAATAAGGTTGATAAGTAAACACGAGCTGAACTTTCTCAGGGCTAGTGGTAAAATCCCTGTTGGTTATTTTCATGGATCACTTATTTAGAGGTAAAACTGTTTAAACTTACCAGGCAACATGCTACAGTTTTGTAAGAACAAATTCTCTTTACCTCTTGTGTAGAAAGAAAATGGGAGAGAAAGAAAATATATTATCTACTCAGCGTTTCCTGTGCAAGGGCGCAGAAACCTGATCTCGAGGCTGACAGTGTTCCCTGGGATCTGTGGCTCCTGTTGCTCACCTGAGTATCTCAGGCTCTGTCTTCATGGAATAAAGTTTCTTTGGTAACAATGTGCCCTCAACCTTGACGGGATGCAGAGTCCATGCAGTCCGAACTGCACCTGGCTTCTCCCTTACCTTCTACTCTGTATCTCCCGGCTTTGTTGGTCTCTCATCTTCCCAGGTCTGACAGGGGACAGAGTGCTTTAATGACCTAGAGTGACCCTCAAGGATGCCCAGCCTTTTAGGCAGGCAAACAAAAAGCTTCATTCCCTTGTGTTCCATTTCCCTCTTAGAAGCTGTAAAGTATAATATTTCACAAGAGCACCAGGCTATTGTGAGGGCTAATTAGATTTAATGGGGCAATGGAGGCAAACTGATCAGGTAATATTTAAAGTGCCTTTTTTTATTTCTAAAAAAAAAAAAAACCAACCCTGGTTTAGGAATATAATTAATATGGAAGTGGAATCTTTGGCACTCATCTTCCCACATTAAACAAAAATCACAGTTGCTAATCAAAAATCTTGTTCTAAGCATAATAAAAAAAAAGGAAGAGAGAGATCTATGAATTTCCATCTATTTTTGAAGCAGCAGTACACGGCTCAATTCTTTCATTTTTCTTTCTTTTATCTTCTTTTCCATGATACATTATAAATTGAAAGGCTAATTTTGTGCAGTAATATAAAGTCACAGAGTTTTGAACCAATATTAATCTATTTCCTTGGTTTCACATAAAACATTCTTGAAGTCCTTTTATTGGCTCCTCAAAGAATCACTTATCAAATATCCCGTGGTTGAAACAACTTCATGCAATTTCTGGGAAGTTTCAGTTAGACTTTTATTCAAGAACATGTCAATTAAAGATCTCTGCATTGCCCTTTGCCCCACCCCTGCAAAAAAAAGTCAATATATATTCAAGGTCAAGGCCAAAGGGGACTGAGGTCATCTGGAGAGTCATTACTGAAATTAACAAACAGATTGATTAACTAGAAATTTTCACAAGAAGCTGAAGGTGACATCTACTTAAATCCTGGTTTAATTAAGTCACCTTAGAAACAGGAACCACTGTTTTCAAAGGTGAAATGGGGGATCCTGGGAAGTTAGATTACATCTGATAGGAAAACAACAATGTTGCCCAGAGTGAAAACAACAATGTTGCCCAGAGTGACTTGGTGGATGAAGTGTTTTAACTACAGAGCAACTCCATTACCGTTTGTCTGTTTATTCCAGGTGAGTCTGGGATTCATAAGACACTGCCTCAATACAGAAAACCAAACCACCACAGCAATAGAAGAGTTACAAATGTTTACAAATTAACTTGTATACTCACCAAGCAAACTTCTGGTTATTCATTCGATTTCCTCGGACCCTGGATACTGGGGACGGATGTACCCTGTCAACAGACAAGAATAAGTCAGTGGTGGAGAAAACGTATTTCTCATTGTGAATGGGGAAAGCACACAGCTTCTGCTTTATCAGTGAACTCTTTCTTAGGTTTACTTCCTTTGTTCTTCCTGTGAACTTGACCATCTCTTAATAAACAGGTGCAATTAATTAAATTCCTATGCCTGCTTTGCTCTTTATCTCTCCTGAGGTAACAAGGTGCTACACGTTAACCACAGAACTGAGAGTTCCAGTGAACAGATAGATGTACTCTTTAGCAGAAGAAACAGCTACTGAAGATGTAATTCTTGCCTGGGGAGAAGAGTGCATAAACTATACGGAGGGCATGGTACCTGCCCTCAGTGAGGAAACTGCACAAAGAGACAATGAAGTGGCCATTCTTTAGGTCAACTTCTAAATGTAGCTGCAGGACTTCATCCACATGTCCAGGAACAGGGTATGTGTGAACAGGATGGGATGGAAGGGTGGACAGTTATTTCTAGGAGACAGGCTTTCTGGAATTTATATTTCTGTATTTGAGTTCAGAAAGGCAAAGTGAATTCAAAATGCTAATCAGGTAATAGAAGTCCCAGTCTTCTGGGGTTGGAGCCATGCAGGGTTTGAGTTCAAAGCATCCAGGAACTGCTGCTATTCTCCAATTAGAAGCCAGAGGCCTAAACTTCTCTTCTTAGTTACCAGCTGGCAAAACACTATGCCCTACTTCAGTGGCCTTGTGGCTGCCTTCTTGCTTTGGACTGATTGCCTAGGATGCTTGTCTAGGATTCCTGAGATCTAGCCATTCTTTCAGCTTGAGTCCTTCCTCTTCACAAGGCTACACACACACACACACACACACACACACACACACACACACACTCACACAAACGTTGCTTTTATTTACAGGGAGGGAGGAAAATAGGAGTCGAGGAAATCCAGGAAAGATGAAGGAAAGAAACAAAATTATCTTAACTGGCCTTAAGATTCCATTAAAACCAAAGCCCAGGGTCTACCTGAAGCCCAGCCCCTCATTGCTGCTCAGTGAAAATCACATCAAAACAGACATGCCAGGCCAGCTTTTTCTGCAGGGCCAACCAGCATCTTTCCAAACCCCGGAGCTGGATTGCACTTCGCATTTGTTTCCTCCTGCATCCCTTATTAACATGATTTTTCTCCTAGGCTTCTTGATGGTGGCTGCAGCTGAGCTGCTCAGCACAGATTTTCTGCTCTGCATGGGGGAAGGGGGTGATAATTATGCAGAAAGATGGAGGGAGGCCAGACAGCCCCTCCGCTGAACTGCCTTATTCAAGCACAGCCCACTTCCTGCTGTTCTGCAGCTACAAGGATCACCTGTTGGTCTTGGCAGCTGTCCAAACTGGGGCCTGGCGGAAATGACAGAGTCAGCTAGAAAGGAAAGCCAGTTTTTATATCCCAGCACCTCAAGATACATAGTTATCTTTCTCATATATGGATATACATATGAGGGAGACATAAGAGTTACATAGCACGTAGCAAAACTCATTCTGTCCAGCCTTCTTGAAATAGAATCCTCACAATGATTATCTGAGCCAAAAAAGTTAATCCCCAGATAACCAGATAAGCCCACTGACTAAAGGACATCCTCATGAACTTCCTCTAGACCCTCCTGAGGTCTTGGTCCCAAGAGTTAAGAACCTTTTCAAAAGTCATTTGCTCCAAGGATTCAGTTCTCCACTATACACTAAGTCCTTTAAACCCTTAGCCCCTTTACTAAAAGCACAAAGAAACCATGTCTTCCTCATGATCAACGCTAGCAGCTGAGTGGAATGATTGCAGTATCTGGTATCGTGGCTGTCCACTTCACATCTCATGTGAACATGAGGGAGGGAGACTTGGGTTCACTACTCCCTAAGTACAAAGCATAGTAGACATTGGTATCTTTGAGGGAAAAAAATTCGGTGAGCCTAGACCAAATACTATAAATACACAATTCCTATGAGGTTTTGGCAATTTATAAGGGAAAAGAAAACCAAAACCAAAAAAACCTGATTCTGATTACCTGTATGACCAAATAATTCTAACATTTTTAAAACTCAAATGAGGAATGGAGAAATATCTTCTTCCTCTGAGGGTGCTAACTTCATCCAAAAATGCAGACCACAACTTTTGTCAAAAGGACAAGCCAAGTTTTCGTGAGTTCCATTTTAAATGGCAGCCCCTCTGCTATCTGCCTTTTTTCCACATACAGCAGCCAGGCAGGTAGCAGAGTCAAAAACCCAGTAGCACAAACTATGGTCTAATCTGCATGTCATGCATTATTCATGATCCCCTGATTTCTGCACCTGCATCTAGGCAGGAAGCTTGCTGGGCACGTTCATTATTCTTCTTGGAGCCTCGTACAGTCTCCATTACTCCTGAGCCACTTTGTTCTGTAACTAAGGGTTTCAGGCCTTAGTACTAACTGCTGGATATGAAAAGAAAAGGACACTCCAGGCAGAAGCAAAGGATGATCTTGGTGTTGTGTAACACAGTGGATCTGACAATGTTCTCTACAGATCCTGATTGCTATGTGGGATATTACTGCTCACACAGGGTGATTTACATCACAGAGAAGAGGCAGACACACCACCAGGGCCCTGTACACCAGTTGTTCTATTTATACATACTGACTCATCTGGGGCCGCCGGCATGTTTACGATTTCACTCGATTTCTGAGCTTTTATTCTTTTTTAACTTTCTTGCTATGTTTGAACCTCTTTGATACCTTCATGTAAAAATAATTCTTCCTTCGTTGGGTACAAGTACTGAACCTGCTTCCCAGATCCTATGTCATAAAGACTGTTAGAGATAGGAGACTCTGATGCCTCTGCTTTTCAGTGGCTCCAGGAGGCGAGACGAATGCCTGGAGGTAAGAGGTAACATGTAGAGTCTAGGTCCTAGACACAAGTTATGAACCACTGGTGAGCTTCCGGGATGGGGACACTATCTCACCCACATACTCTGTGGCCACTTATGGCATCAAGCCAAACTGAGTCGAAGCAATGTGGGGTGCAAACTGTATTGTGACTTTCCTGAGATTAAGCCAACGTGTTGCCAGCTAGCAACAATGCATTCTAAGGCAAGTCACAATATCTACCCAGATGGCAGTATCCTCGTCCATCCAAGGAGTTTTGTACAGTTATGGAAAACACACAGAGGACCATAGTCTTGAAAGTAAGAGGACAGAAGTAGTCCCATTGTCTTGTCACCTCACAGCCACCCTAGTGTCACCTGCCCCTATGATACTGGTGTAAGCAAACCTCCTGTGCTGCCAGCGGCATCAACGTTTATCACATACAACCACGTACGGTTCATAACATCTGATAGCGATGCTCACTGTACATCGCAAGCATCTGACTGCCATGCTTACTGACCACGTCAACGATTTATGTATCAATCACGTTGTTAAAGTCACTTTAGAGTATATGACCACTACTTGTGCTTAAAACAAACAAACAAAATATTAAAATGTTGTCATCTCTACTGGGATTGAATCCAAGATCTTACACATGTTACTCAAGTCCTCTACGACTAAGATATCTACCCAGCTCCACTATGGCACCTATCACCATGCAAGTTTCCTTTTCACTGAGTCTTCTGGCCACAGACATCCATGCCATCCCTGTTTTCCAATCTGGTGTTAACTCTCAACCTTCACATCCCACACTACCATAATTTGTCACTCTTCCCTCGGCAGCTCTCTTACCTCAACCATCTTCTAAGCTGTTCTGTTTCTCCTTTGCTCAGCCGCTCAGCCCCGAGTGTGTTTAGGGGTCACTTTCCTATGTCCTTTTCTCTCCCCTGTTGACGCTTATTCAGTTATTAGCTGAAATCATTTCAAACATGGCTACCCTCCCAGCGTACCACCCACATAATAATCAGAGCAGCTAGGCTTTGCTGGGTTTCCCTCTATCAATTTGCCACCCTTTGATCACATCATGTCGACCAATCACATTTCTAAAGAGCTGTGCATGTGGCATGAAACCTAAGCATAAAAGTTAGCAATGACTCGAGAGTCTCTCAGCTTCTCTTTCTGATGTCTCCCCTAGCACAGAAGTCTTAGACGGCATCAGTGTGCTATGCTTTTTTCTTGCTAACTTATCTTTCGTCATATGAGTGCCGTCCAGTCCATAATTCCTGTTGATGGATAAGAAAAGGGATTACCTACTTCCAACTCCTACCTTTCAGGTCTCAATCAGACCAGGGGTTCTCAGTCCTACTCTATCCCTGTCGGGACAGGAAGGAAGGAGTCATTTCAAGAAATAGCACTATGACACACAAGGCTGCTGCATGTAAGAGAGACAGCTTTCTATTGACAAAGCAGGATAAAGTTCACACACCAAGGTTATCTGAAGAAACAAATAGACAAACCAACAGCAATAACAATCACAAACCCACTGGGTCTCTGGCTCTCATGTCCTGTGTCAGGGGCATTGCATCCTATTGAAAGAGTCAGAATAAACTACTTCACAGACCAAGGCAAGTTTCTGATAGGACATCACTTTTCTAGTGTGATTAAGTATTTGAGAACTCTTAAAATTAGCACACACAAATACTTGCTATTCTATTGTCTGATTATTCTATTATGTATAAGCCAGCACTTTTACCTACAAACTATGCAAATAGCCCCAGAGTCCTTTTAAGAATTCTCTTTACTGCAAAAGAATTCATTTGTCAAGGACTTAGAAATAAACCCACAGTTATTATTAAATATCAGCATGTTCTTATGCAAAACATGTGAAAGATAATTTAGAAATAATCATTGGCTTTGCTTTTTTTCTTAGACTCACAGCATCAGGAGCAAGTTCTCATGAGTATTCAGGCTAGTCCAGATGTTATGTTAATAGATACATGCTACACCTGGACAAATGAAGAGGATGCAAGCATTAAATGAAGTGGGCTCTTTTTATTCTCAGATTTTTAAAATTATATCTGTGATTCATGAGCATTACAAATACCATATATCAGTGTATGAGTCATATCATAGGTAGGTGT